CAATCATAGGCAGTGCCTTTAGCTTTTTGAGAAGCTTTATTTTGATCATCTGTAAAGTGGACATTATGGTGCCATCCCTGAAACTGAATGACTGAGCGATAAGAAACAGCATTTGGTAGAAGGCAGGCATTTGTGTTCTAGCTGAACACCTTTTTAGGTTCAATTCACTGTAGTCATGGGACCTGATTTCAAGGAGTATTAGTTATCTCTACAGCACCTCTACTGTAACGTAAAATGTGGTCAGTCCTCAAGGAAGAGTTTAATGAAGTGTTCTTTGAAGTTTAGAGGAGGGTTGAAGAATAAGTGAAAGATCATATAGAGCATGATGAACTTAAGGCAGCAGTTAGGAGAGAGATCCTCACATTATTGTGGCATGTGAAGCAAACAACTAGATCTTGTTTGAACTCATCTTTCCAGTAGTATTTAAGAACTTATAAGTTTGTAATTATTTTATATATTTTCTTTTAGGTATCATCTGCCAGTTCATGTAATCGGCCACCATGCTGTGAGTCCTTACGCAATAGTTTTGCCATTATCATCTGATGTTTTGGCCTTGAAGCCTGTATCAGACATGCTGAAAATAGCTTGGAACCTGTCATGGTATCATGGGAGTGATAATCTACTGAAGCAAATGAACTCCGGAACTGATACTCAAGAGTAAGCTGTCAGATTTAGCAAAAAGCATTCAACAGTTAATTAATTATAACTAAGTAGTTGGATTTTACTTTTTCACTTGATATTATCATCTGATTTTGTTTTTAACTGAAGGTAATTTTTTTACTTTGTTTTAAAAATCATATATGTTTATTTAAAACATCTATCACATGAACATTTAAATTAAAAAACATTGTGTTCTATGCTGTTGAAATATTATATGAAGTTTGTTTAGTTAATAGACATAAATCATTGAAAAAAGTGCTCTGGAGTAGAATAAAACTCAATAAGTGTATGTGGGAATGTTATGACTGTGGAAATTACTTTTGAACATATTAATGTTCTGTCAGTCTCATGAATAAAATTATTTTATATTTCTGTAGGGAAGAAAAAGTTGACAAAAACACTTGGGATGCTGATGTGAAACTCTAATGTTGACAGTTACATACCCATTTTCTTTTGACTATAAGACAACCTTTAATTTCAGAGAAAATGAAGATAAAACAGGATTTTTAGGAGAGTTTAGAATAGAAATAAATGTGGGCTTCCATATAAATAGCTTTATGTTGGTCTTTTTTCCTTTTGTCTAGATTTTTAGATACATTGAAGTTATCCACAAAAGACAGCCTCATTCTGAAGATAACCCACGCGGCCAGCGGGCTGCAGGACTGCTTCTGCTCCATTGTTCAGGCCGCAGCCCACAGGGATGTTCGGGCTGCTGTCACTCGGATGAGTTTTTATCTCCTGAATGACAAATTGTCTCTAAAGGGTGGCATTGGCCCATGTGGGGTTGCCTTGAAGTCCTTGGCCTGGCACACTGTGCTAAGCAGGTCAGTGTAAGCTTAATGTTTCTGGTTTCAAAGACCTGGGTTGAATTGTATTTGGGTTCTTCACCAAACCTTTGAAGATAAAGAGAATGTATTTTATAGTTGCTATCATGAGAAATGCTTTTTATAGAAAGAAAAAATCCAGGATTTGTATTACCTATAATAAATAATGATAACAGAAGAGAAAAAATATTTTAACTTAGGTAATGTATTTTATAAGGAATTATTAATAAACCTATAACAATTTTATTTATTTTCCTATCTTAGAAAATCTTATCCCACAAAAGTAAGTACTTAGGACAAGACAGATAAAACACACTGAATGTTTATCCTGTCCATATTTATAAATGAGTCTCGATGACAGTGGATTAATAGATTGATACACCTGCCAAAGGCTGTTTTTTTTTTTGTATTGTTCTCAAGTCAATTATCTCACTTCTCTTCTTATTCTGCATTTCCTGAAATTGGTGCTGTATAGCTTTGGTAGTAGTTACTGGAAAGACTCTAGTTTGAAATGTAGCATATTTGACTGGTAGCAGATGGCTGCATTTCAAAGAAGAC